CTTTTCAAACGATACTTATTTTGAAGTTTTTGGTTGATTTATCTCTCATTCTATTCTTTTTTAAGGTACGAAGTCTTTTGAATCGGTTAGTCAACCACGATTCTGGTGTATTTGAAATTCATTTGTTATAGAAGACTGTCCTCCTGGGACTTCAATACGATGCATGTACTCTTCATAACATGATGCAGTATATCATATACAATAGTGTCGTCGACGACTTTTTTTTCTTTTTGATTCTGTTTCTTTTCTCATAATGACATAACTTATTGAAATATCTCAATTTTCAATATGTCAAATACTTTATATGAGGTTTTATAATTTGTCATGTCTAAATGCTAATCAAGAGTACATGACACCCTAATTGGGACGATTTTTGCTAATTGCTCTATCTTTGTTTGAAGATTTTTTGTACTTGAATTGAATATCATTACGCTTCAAGCGTTCCACACACACACACACACACACACACACACACACATATATATATATATATATATGCTAATAAATTGTCCTTCTAGGATATCTATTCATGTTGAAGCATTTAAAGATGTGTATAAGGTATTTTTGATTATTTGATCAGTAAATGCATCTAAATATATTATTTTTTGAACTTTTAGTTCGAACTTCTTTTGCGAAGATTTACATAATGATGCATTTATTCATTATTTCCAGCTTCTTAATTCCTCCCTCGAGTGCTGAGAAAATTGTTCAATCAAAATTGACAATCATCAAATTGCGTTATAAAAGATTACCCATTTGAGATAAGACTTCAAACTATGTATTTTTTCTCAGCATTCTTTACTTCATTTTAATGCATTGTGGTGGATTAATTGCACTATCAAATAATTTAATGAAGAAATTAGGTTCTGACCATAAGCCAATTGTATCAGGGAGAACTATAAAATTGACATGATGTGTAATAACATTCCCTAAATATAAATGAAAATATTTTGTTGTCAATTAAATTAATTAAAGACGTTTAACAAATAACATTGTTAATCATTTATCAACATCTCAATTAATACTTATTAAAAAGTTGAGATTGAAGATCACTGACATTAACAAGCCACGTCGTGTGGATTGTATATCTAAAAATTATGTTCATAATTTGAGCAGTAGTTTCACAAACTTCAGGATGTGAATTCCATGCAATCCATGTAGTAGATGTATCAAATTCATTAGCTATAAATAATATCTAGATGGTCAACGTGGAGACTGGTGGGGCCTCATTTATCATTTTGATTAATTTTAAAAAATGTATAGAATTCAATCCTTATTTTAGTTAGTGATGTTTAATGATAAATTATCGACAAAAGAGAATAAATGAAATATATGAATTTATTGGATTAAAAAATTTGTTGGTTCTTCATTAAGTATCCATTTTTAATTTCACATTATTATTGATCCAGTAATGGTCCAACTAAGTATGCCAAAAAATAAAATCAAATTGAACTTCTGGTTCAATATAAGATACAGTTCAATTATTTAATTTTGAAGAATATAATTAAATCTTATATACTCGTAGAATATTCAATCGAAAAGACAAACTAATTAATGTCAACATAACATGAATTAAATGTTTTCCTTCAGGGATTTGCACGAATTTAAAATAATATATTCTTGAAAGCATGTGTTACTTCGGGAGTACATTGTATTTAACCATTCTTTCTTAGGAGCAATATATTAACATTCTTTTGAAATATTAGAATTTTAATGTCATGCTTTTCATGAACAATGACATATTATTATTCAAAATAAAAATTGTGTAAAGATTTATTCTCCAAGAGCAAAACATAAATTGATCTACATAAAATATTTAATAATTTTGTGTTACTTCAGGAGTATCAACAAATTATTATTTAGAAACGTTAACTCTCAAAGAATATGTTTTATAGTAGAATATCATATTTGCAAAATTGTGCTTCTTCAAGAGTAGTAACATGATAGATATCAATTTAAAATTTATTAAAAAAATATTTACAAATATTTAATCAGGTTAAAGAATATTGATTACCATATAAACAGGATATGGATATATATATAAAAATTAAATACCAAACATGAATTAGGAAAAAGATTCTCCATATATTGAAGTTAACAAAATTGATTAAATATTTTATTGGCTAAATCTTTTACCAGCATGCAAAGATATTAAACATGCACGTAAATTCCACATACACAAAAACTAAAGGTAAAACAAATATATCATTGAATTAAAAGATAGAATTAATACGTGAACAATATGTGGTAAAATTGATGTGTACGAATCAAAATGCATAAATTAATGTGTACATATTACATATACAAATGTGAATTACAATTAATATGCATACCAACGAAAATCAAAGGAAGAAGCAATCTTGTTATGATGCATATGTAAATCAAAAGAATTCACATGCTATCTAATTAATTTTGGTACACGTGATAGATGATTATACTTATAAAAATATTATCTTCTAACTAATTTACTTTGATTTTGAGAGAATCATATTGATAACGTGTTATAAACTAAAAAGAAAAAAGTGAAAAAAGAAATAAATCAATAAACTTCTGTGTCTTATTAAGAACTAATGCGTTATATTTATAAGGAAAAATCAGAGATACAAAGATAATAATTTCTAGGACCTTAAGGGTACACTTGTCATTAACTAATAAACTTACCATTTATAACAATAGGAACTTTATACATTTTTTCAAAATTTTTAACAAAAAGATAAGTTTTAAATGCAAATACTAAATAGTGAATAAATAGAAATTTTCGGGAAATTTTCTCTATTCAAGATTCAAGCGATTGTTTTTAATCTAGGGCAAACGAAGTAAAAAGAATCAGCATTTAAGTTTTAACTTAAAAAGAATTATATTTAAAAAAAAAAAAAGATAATAATGTGCACCTAGGTTGTCAACGTCACTTTGATTGCTAAATAAGGCAACGGCCACCGATTCGTAGCGTTCATGATAACAATAGTAAACTTCACTGGACCTTTTAACTGGGGCAAAGGTCTTTCTCTCTTGATTAAACCATTGGTCGATAAACGACGTGGAATTTCCATCAACTAATTGTGGTACAATGGTTTGACATTTGCTCTGTACATTGTGCCTAGACGGTCTTGTCTAGGCGCGACATCTTATGATCCTCTTCAGTCTACATCCATCTAGATCAAGCTGATGTATTGCACTTTACAAAGTCATAGTCGTGCCGTTAGTGCATAGAATTCAGCCTCAATTCTTTGTAGTTCTAAAAGAATTCGGTGCACATGAATTCCCTTTTTATCTTGTTCAGACGTTTTATTAATACATCTGTTTATCAATAATTTTTTTATTTTTTTGCTTGCTTTCACAAGATTTTGGATTTATGTTGTTTATTTTTAAAATAAAAATTTTACATTGACAAAAAAATTATCGAGATTTCATTCGATCTCAAAAATAATTTTCGAATTCGAAATTTTATTGAATACTATAAAATTGTAGTTGCAAGTTTACGCATGACATGAGAGCATAATTTAAGAAAGACCAAGTGAGATTTGTAGAGCACTCCTCTTATGATTAGCACGATGAGATTCACGTGATAACATGCAACGGCTGTGGCAGTTTGTCTACACTCTACACACGACTCTAATTATTTTCTTAACACATAATAATAATAATAATAATAATAATAATAATAATAATAATAATAATAATAATAATAATATTATTCCTCATAAATCTTCTTCAAATATAGATGAAAACACTCAATTTTTTAGTATTGTCGAAGCTTTATTCACAAACCAAGTGATATTTATTCTGATGATCCATTTTGGTCCTTGAGTATTTTCAATTATCTTTTGAAAAAGTGTTTATTTACTATGGAAATAATTGGTTCTTGAAAATAATTTTGAATAGCCTTTGACCATTGGACTAATCTTATCATAACAAAACATCTTCCAAACAAGTGCTTATCCTCAGTACTTCCAAATAGTTGGTCCACACTATTCACTTTAGCATGCCCACTTAAAAGTAATTTTTGAGGACAAGAAATATTTGCTACTACTTGCAATAATATGCAAAAATAAAATAAAATAAAAAATCATTCTAAGTCCCATGTTATCATTATTCATGGATACTTGTATTATTCCTCAAATGGAAATGATTTAATTACTAATCTTTTCATTTATTATGGCCAACTACTGATTTACACGTTCTAGAAGGAAAAATTCACCCTTCTTTTAATCCCCTGATCATTCTTGTCCTTTTTATTCAAGATTACTAGCATCGATTCCTTATCTTTCAAGATTATTAGCATCAACTGAAGTCAATATTACGTTACTAGATTTTAAACGCAATAATGAAAATTCTGTTACTACTTTATGAATTCTCTACGAAGAACATTCTCAAAGTCCATTTTATATTTATGAGAATGAATTATCTTCTTATATGAAAAACACTTTTCTTGAGAATTTTATGACGATCTAGATTAATGCACAAGATTTCTCCTTGATCTTGAAGAAGATGAGGAATATTAGGTTGAAAATTTTACCCAGATTACATAAGCACACGATTCTAGATATTTCCTTTCAAGTCATTATTTCAATAATTTCTTCGGAAAAAAATAACTATGATCAGCATGTTTGGCTAAACTAATATATTTACGGTCTTGTTTAGACTCTTAAGGGCATTATTCCTCATATAAATATAATCATTCAAGAACTTTAGAAATATTAGGTTGCATTACTATTTTAAACATTAGTTCACGTGACAACACTTAAATTAAATTTAAATATGAATTTTAATTTCTATGAAACGAGGACTAATAATGTGGAAACAATATAGCGTGTAATTAAAATTAAAATAATATTTATCCAATTCCATAGTGTCCCTATAGAACTCAATCTTGGGGACCCTCAAAAATTGTCCAAAAGTTTCGGTTCCTCCCATAAACCAAGTGGACGTTTGTTTACCATCAGTCTCTTTGTGAGTATCTCTCACACCCCACGCCACCCCACCCCGCCAGCCCGGTGTGAGCTTTGTGAACTACGACGCCGTTTCTACGATGGCTGAAGAGGTAAAAAATCCGGTTAAGGATATACCAGTCGGAGTTTCCAGCTCGGTTATCATCGTCAGTATTCTTTACTGCTTAATGGCTGCTTCAGTGACCGCCTCCCTCCCTTATGACATGGTAATTCTTCTTCTAGAAATAAGTTAATTCATTAGGTACAATCCTGCTGTGCTGATTTTCAAGTAGTAGTGAAGATAGTAATGTCATAATTATCAACAAATTGGAGTTGTTTGTTTTTTATGCCAAGTGTATGTGAATATCTAACAGTAATTAATTATATATTTATGACACAGATCGATCCAGATTCGCCGTTTTCTGGGGCGTTTAAGGTGGGATCCTCGGGGTGTAGGTGGGTGTCGAATGTGATCGGAGTGGGGGCCAGTTTTGGTATTTTGACGTCGCTTTTGGTGGCGATGTTGGGGCAGGCACGCTACATGTGTGTAATCGGACGGTCACGCGTTCTCCCTTCATGGTTTGCGAAGGTCCATCCTAAGACTTCTACACCTGTTAATGCCTCCACCTTCCTTGGTATGTTGTCCCACTTTCTAAATCTTGCCTTTATTTTTGTTTTATTTTATTTTATTTTATTTTTTTGTCTGGGTCGGGTTGGGGGGTGGGTGTTAATGTGCTTGCTTGACTGTCTTCCACCTGAACTGAACCTCTTTCGATCTTTCTGTTTTGGACAATAGCCATTGTTAGAACTGATCTATATGATCACCTTGCCGGAAAGGGTGTTCAATGTACTTAAAAGTTCACCAACTGATGAGCGCGTCAAGAATTAACATACAATTGTTTTGTCTTAAATCGGAGCCTGTGCGGAGTTGAGAGGGGTGTACCATGTACTCATAAGCCTACCAACTGACATGAACCCAGGGTCGACCCAGGCGATTCTTGATATTTTTGAACTTTAGGCCTACTTCGTATGAAGCCTAGTTAGGTTGCCCCTTGTGGACGCGAGTGAGTCAAGGGTCGTCTTGTCTCGAACGAAAGCCATTCTTAAATTTGCCCCTATACTAGTTAAGCGAGGGTGTACATTGTACTCGTAAGTTAACCAATTTATGTGGATCCGGCGCGCCAAGAATTAATATAAATTCGTCTTTTCTTGAGTGAAAGTCATTATTACATTGGCGCTTTTGTATAGAGTTAAGATAGGGTTTTCAATGTACTTATAAGCTCGCAGATTGGTGTGGAACTTGAGGATTAATTTAATAATATGATATGGTCGGTTATTCGAATGGTGTTCGTTTAGAACCGTTTATGGGTCCATTTAGAACCGTTTCCGATAGAACCTAGGTATGAATAGGGGTTATCGTTTATCTTTAGATTTCGATTCTCATTCAGCTAATTTTTGGACCATTTTAGTGTTCTTCCATAAATCAGACTTTTTTCTATCTGTGATAACTCTATGCAGCTCATTAGTGGACTATTAAACAAAAGGTTGTACTGAGAATAGTGTTTATAATTCATATAGGTGTGTAGTATGTGAAGTGATTTCATAGGAGAATATGCCAAATAACACTAGAATAAGAACTCTATGATATTACTAAGTACTCTTCTAGTAAAATTCACACTATGGGATCAATATTCTCTGAGCTTGACTTTCATCGTTTAGGAGTCGAGTGACGTGACTCGATGTAGGCAAGATTGCTTATGAGAAAGTAGGACCGAGGTGAGGGAAAGTCTCAATTTCTAGGGGAAAAATCTTTTGGGAAAGAAAAAAATTCATAATGAGCATAAGATTTAACTCTTTGGATGAAATTTGTTATTTTAAATTTTATTATCATTGAAAGTTAGTGGAGGAAACTATTGCTTTAGCATTTTTGATATTGATAGGAGGACCTCACCTAATAAAAAGGAAAATACAGTAAGACATGATGTCAATCTTTAACCGATCAATAAAAGTTTATCCTTGACTTCTGCAAAAGGGAAAGATCATATGATTCTTCTCAAATTGGTAGAGCTAAGAGTTACTTAGAATATATAGGATCACTAGGAGAATGGTGGAAATGCTGTTCATTCATTGATGCTCCAAACTTACTTTTAAAGATTCTGTGATCGCGATTTTGTCGACTATGACCACTAGATAATTGTTCCTGTCATCAAGTTCCTTTTGTGGTTGTCACCATCCCATTTTTCTATTTACCATGTTTTATCTATGTATTTTCATTTTTCATGGATGCTCGATATTTTTTTTATCTTACTTTTTTCTTGTTCTCATTGTTCTTTCTTCTTTCTTGTTAACTCGTTCATATATACTCATAATTGGGGAATTCTCTTCAGGAATCTTCACAGCAGCTATTGCCCTATTTACTGATCTAAACATCCTGCTGAATCTCATATCCATTGGGGCGTTATTCGTCTTCTACATGGTGGCAAATGCGGTGATATATAGGCGTTATGTTACTATGGGAACGACAAATCCGTGGCCAACTATTTCGTTCCTGTCTTGTTTTACACTCATATCTGTCATGTTTAACCTCCTCTGGCATTTCGGGCCATCAGGTAAACCCAAAGCCTTCTTGCTCGGGGCTTGTGTCACTATGGCAATCGGAGTTCTACAATTATTTCATTTCATGGTCCCACAAACTCGAAAGCCTGAATTTTGGGGGGTCCCTTTGATGCCATGGATTCCTTCCATATCCATCTTCCTTAACATATTCTTGTTGAGTTCTCTTGATAGAGCATCCTATGTCCAATTTGGGTTCTTTTCATGCCTCTCGGTGCTTGTATATGTTCTATATAGTGTCCACTCTAGTTTTGATGCAGAGGAAGTTGGAGCTCTTAGTCAAAAGACTGGGGAAAGTATGAAGGAATCTGTTGAAAGTGAAGACAATACTCTCAAAGTGTGAAAAACTTTCAAACCCTTTTTTCTTCAATAACTTTACAGCTTGTTTTTGTTGAAGGACACTTTAGAATAGGGGTGAAGAAGAAAGATAGGGAAAAAAATAAAATAAAATAGCCAGCCTTTTTTGCATTTGCAAGTTGTATAGTTTGATCTTCGATAGAGATCTTAGTTTAAGATTCCCTGTATCAATATAGTAATGTGATCCATCAATCTTGTGCAACTTTAACTTAATGAAAGCATCAAAATTGATTTTTCTTGGATTTCGAATGTCTTCTTATCGAACAAGACGCTATTATTTTATATTTGAAGTGCATGATAAATACCGTCAAAATCCAATACTATAGAGTAAATTAAATGAAGTACTCCATATACGAAGTGTGAAAAGATGTCTACAAATGGAGTCAGATTTTTGAGGGAAGACACTTTTCTATGGGCATCCAACTAACTTGCTAAGTTAATCTTAGCTTCCATTAACTCCCCAAGATATGAAAATTGAAGATTCCTTTCCATGTCACCAGTTTTTGTTTAGGCAATGGGATAATATAAACTGCCCAACATTCCAATTCCAATTCCATCTGAAGAATCCATAAAACCGTGATTCTCGGGATTGAAAGGAATAACGAACGAACTAGAGGTTATCACTACATTGGTATTGCAAGAAGAAAAAATATTCTACCACTTTTTTTTTGTGAATATTATCTTAATTCCCAGCCAGCCATCACCTTAATAGGAACTTGGTCATCGCCTATTTATTAGAAATGATTGAGTTGGTCCTCAACTATTAAAATGACCTTCGACCACGTCTTGTATGTTTAGATTTATGTTTTCCGATATACTTTTGGTGTATGTTCTCACGAGGGAGGGACACATGATGACCAAATGATTATGTGACTATTTCCGTCCGTAGGAGCTGATTGTGTATTCAACCTTTTATAGGAATACAAATCATAACTATTCGCATTCCATTTAGTTCATCGGTATACTCACGCGCACATTTACTTCGTATCTATTTGCTAGAACTAATGGATCGTCTATAGAAATTTCCATGAACATTTGTCATTTCTTTGGTTGTTTTTTAGCATCTCCCAATGGCTCTTTCTACATATGTGGATATCAACAACCATTAATCTAATAAGTAATTTATTAGCAGCATTTTTAATTATTGTATTGTATAAAGATGGAAAAGACTACAAAAGAACTAAAAATCCAACCAAGATACAATGTAGACCTTGCTCAACTACAAGAATACCATAATGACTAGATAAGGACAAAAATTTTATGCGTTTCCATCCCAAATTTCTCCAACGTAATTGAATGCTTTTTGTCTTTTGCCTAGTCAATTTAGATTCAGCTTATTTGGATTATTGAGCGAGTCCCTCCATTTGTTGGGTTTATGGGTCCCTTCCCCTTCTCCTTCTCCTTCTCTCCCTTATTAGTCAGTCAAATCAATTGGTTAATTGTTAATTAAAAAGGTTGAACCCCAAACTTAAGGGTCCCCCACCATCCCGTTCCTGGAGCATCGTGAGAGAGGTTAATCGCAGGATGTGTCCTAACAGGCTAGGAACAAGAGTCGTTTATACACTGGTGCTCACAAAGAGTCTCAATCCATATTTCAGGAGTCGAACCCTCACACTGCGACTGTCACCAAGGTTGAATATATCTCACCCTTATCCTTTGCACCACTGAAATATGTCCGGGAGGCATTAATTGTTAATTAATTAGTAAGTAACATATTATGTTAATAACTAATTCATAATTAACTTATCTCTAAACTCGCATAGGATTCTAATCACCTGTATAAAGAATCACCTTTTATTTTGTACTAATTATTCTTTGAAGTACAACAAACGACTGTAATATTTAATATTAGGTATTTACAAGTGTATTGACCAATAATTCAAAAAAAATGACTCAAATATCGGATGCCTGACTAAAAAGGTATAAAAATGAGTTGGGCCGACCCTTTGAGTGGCTGGTGCAGGCAGCATGTGGACCCACCACGGCACATATTAGGCTTGGTTTGTGCCGTCCTAGCTAACTGATATATGCACAAGAAATGATTTCCTATGGTGGGTAGGAGTTAGCATGCTCATCGTTCAACGATTAAGTCTATAATTTTTGATAATTTAATGTAAAATTTTGGACTTATGTCAGCGTTGAGCATGTTTTATCTTATTCACCATGGATAGTTGATCATTTCTATACATACACATGTGAATAACTAATATACAAACTCCTATTTGGTTTTGCTAAAAAATGGATTGAAATCTAAGTTAAAGTTAATAATTAATTTTAATCACATCTTTCATAGACCCACAATCTTTCAACCACACATTCTATCGATTTTAATCAAAACATACCAAAATTTTGATTTTTTTTTTTAATCTAAATCAAACAGGGCTAAATGTCCACGAATCATCCAGGTTTGGATTCAATGTCATATACACACATATTTTCTCTCATTTGAGAGAGAGTGAAACCTTGTCAGTTTTTCTTTGAGCATCCTCTTTTCTCTATAATTTTCTTAGTGAAAATTTGTAAAGATGAAGGTTTTCGTGTGATATTATGAACAATAATCCCTCTTAGTTAATGTTATGTAATTTTTTGGAGAAGTTCCTTGTACGATTTGTGTTGTTTGAATGACAACTGTTATAATCTTGAACTTTTGCCTTGTGATTTAAGGTTGTACTAGTGCATTCGAGTTAATCCTTAACGGATGCTCGACAGGAGACTAAATGTTAGAATATGTCACTGAACCTCTATAGCTTTGATAAAAAAAAATCTTGTATTCTTTAATGTTTTCGATTATTTTATGTGTTTCTGGGGCTTATTAAGTTCAATACTAAGATCAATACTTACTTTATATCATATCGACCTATAAATGTCTAAACAAAAAATGCAAATATAAAGTGATATCTCAAATCTCACCATCTCCCCCACTAAGACTCCCTAGTGGTTGAAAATGTGTTCGTTTCGGTATTGATGATGTTCCAAATCTATGTTTTTCAAGCACTTTCTATTATGTCGATGAAAATTGTGTTTATGTTAGGTAACTTTTGTCACCCACTAATAAAATTGTAGATTAAAAGAAAGCACTAAAGGAATGGGAATAATTAGGAGAGACCTAATTTAAATAACGAAGTAAACCTCTTTTTTTAATCAAACATTTTAAGTACATTTTATTTGTAACATTAGTTTTACTTTGATTTCAAATAGATCGCATTATAATATTTCTCTCTCTATATTATTATTATTATTATTTTCCAATCCTCCAAATTTGTAAGGAAATGGTTTTCTCATGAATACTAAAGCAAGTTCGGTTAGTTGACAACATAGATAGCAGAATTAAAATTATTCGAGAAGAACAATAAGTTATAAAGATTCACATAGATAAGATCATATTCACTAGGCGAAACATGAAGAGATGAATATCTAAATAGTTTAGTCGATTTTGAAAATCAAGAATTCATATAAATAATACCTGATTAATATAAATTTAATATCTTAATACAACTTTATCTTTACCGAAAAATAGGAGAAGTAAAGTTGCAATAAGAAATCTCACTCAATGCTACTACTTGCTAGTGCCATTTGAGTAAACCACTTGGTGAGGTTCAATGCACATTTCACTACGAATCACAGACAAAGCAATTCTATTTGAGGGATTAAATAAAAAAGAAGAGAATTAAAACTATTTGTTCCACTAAAACAACGAAGTTATCCTATTTGAGCCATTCAACTTCTTTATCTTAATCCATCATTAATTGAATGAAATTATTTTAATATCACGATAAGACTCAACCAGGTGAGTGTCGAGACACAAATCTCATGGCAAAGGAATCAGCAGATAGTTTATATGATCAAAAGAAATAAATCAAAATTAAATTTTAGTCGATAGATTTTTTTAAAATTCATTTCTCTACAAATGCATTTATTCATTTCAAACATAAATTGCGCATTTGTTTGTGAGAGATTTTTTAAGTACGAAAAAATTATGAGTCTTCTAAAATGTATGGTTGCAATGATTTTGAAAAAAAAAAAAATATTAAAAATTCTGGAAAAAAATTTGGAAAAAATTAATTATAAAAAAAAAAAATCTCTCCCAAAATCATTGTACATATTATCATGTCAATAACAAAATAAAATACATTGTACATGTAGATTCATTGAACCAGTATAATATATAATTTTGATGCCCCTTTCATATTAGTAGGCTAATCTACCATGAAAATAATTACTTTTTAATTTTGTCCATGACATTTCCAACTCATAATCTACTCTTGACTTGTTTTGATAAATCTTAGTTTTCGTTTGTTTCCCATTATTTACTCATTAAAATGAAAAATATGACCGTTATTCATCACATTAAGCCACTATATTTGAAAGTCTATATCTTGTGTAAGGCCCGTAACGACTATATTTTTCATTCTCATTTTCCTATTAATGTGGCTCAAATGGGACATTAACCTTAAAAAAGAAGGGGTCTATCGGATTGAGATTTGAGTGGGATTTTATCATTTATCTTGTCACTTTCTTCCTATTATTAGATAGAGATTTATTTTTATTTTTTTGTAATAATTCCAAAAGCAACTTTATCAAAACCAAACAAATTGTCATGACATAGTGGCGTTGCAATCAAAACTTCAATCGATGCCAACGGCATTAAAGGTAACCAAAGTTCATTAGTTATCTCGTTGAAAAATAAAATATTAAAATTGAGTACATTTATTTATTTCAATAATATTTTTAACATGTCCTTTCAAGTTCAAATAAAATTTATTCAGAAGCACGTCACGCAATAAGTTCTTTAAACGAATGACGTGAAGATTTGTACTAGTGATTACTAGTGTATCAAAGGTAGAGTCAGGGACAATTTTTTATTTTTATTTATTTATTATTATTACTAGTTTTTTGCTTTAGACTACTAGAAGTTAAAAAATTTACATATGAAAAAATAGATACACCTAATCTCCACCCTCGGAGACTTGGAGTGTATAATCGTCGAATAATTTTAATGTTTTTAGAACTTAAAAAGAATTTTGCTCATAGTTATCGTAGTACTCGTCATTCTAGATTTATGAACTAATTTAACAACGATTTAAATCGTGAAGTGACGCAATCACGATGTCGATTTCAAATTTACTAAAAGATAAGAATAAATTTGTATGTATATCCAAAAGTTTATTGGCAGTCGAAAGAATACTAAAAGGGTGCGCAAAATAAAACATAATAATTGGCTTTAGAAAGACTTTTTTGAGCTAATCTCAGAAATTGTTGATGTGATCCAGCAAAGCCATTCTCGATTTTATTTAAAAGATTGGTTTCTTGAGTTTGTTGTGTTATCCACGTTGCTAGATATCATTCACAAATTTTACTGTATTAATAAAAAATTGTAAATTATCACTTACAATAGAGATTACGACGAAAATCTAATCGATAGAAGTACAAAATAAACCATTCAATCGCTGGATAAAATAAATTATATGATAAGAATAAATTAACATGACCAGATACGTCACATGAAATTAAAAAGAGTGACAGCTTAAAAAACCCAACTCTCGAGTCAATCTCAAAATAACCCTTAGGTTCGAAGCACTTGTAAAAAACACAAGTTTCAAATTTCCTTGAACCAAGTAACTTTTTTTTTTCTTGGCTCAAAACATGATGAAAGAATACGAGATGTCGTAGTAATTCTTGAGTTCTCGATTTATTTGACTAGTTAATTTTGTTACTTTTATTAGAAAGTAAGATTATCGACCATCCTTCTAAGAATTTTTTTTTTTTTTTTTACTATATATATATATATATATATATATATATATATATATGTTTTTATTTTATCTTCAATCCAGTGAATTATGATAATATATATCTATAATATAAATTTTGAAATTCAAGTAATAAAAAATGGGAATTTTTACTGTCTCATTTGTAGAGAGACACTTATTTTTTTCTTACTCACCGTCATTGTAAGAAATCAGAAAGGTTACATGCATAAACTATAGAGATCACAATAGTTGTAATTTTAATTTATATCACACATGTTATCAAGTCACAATTTCGAATCTCACGTGAATACAACCAATTTATATCGAGGTCATAATTTTGAATACTTTTACGAATTCTAAACTTAAAAGCAAGATTTCCTTTGCTCTTGTAGAAAATCTTTCGTGGGACACAAACCAAAAAAAAATATAGAGACAGGGAAAATAAGATGAACCAAGAGTTTAAAGGTGAAAATAAAGTTAATTGTTGGACAATACTATATACAGTTGTGCTATATGTATATAATAATTTACATATACATAATTTGATGACATGATTGGATCATAATTTTTTCAACCAAATAAAAAAATTTCTCCATTTTTTGACACCTCATCTGTATGTAAATTATTTTGTAACTTTATTAGATATAAGTAACATTATTCATGTACTCTTATATTTAGATTTTGCCCAGATGCTATGGTTACAATTAGGCCGAGCCCAATGGACCACAATCTAGTTGACCCAAATGGAATATGGTAACATTTATTTAGTGCTATTTTAGGAATTTTATGTTTTAGACCCAACAATACGATCTTGTTTATCGAGACCATCTTCTTGCACAGAATTTTAAGTTGATCACATGTCATGTGGCTAACGATTTTAACTGCTATAAACGTGCAAATTATCGTGAGAAGAAGACAAATTTTATTTTTCACGGTATGTAACAACAAAATATTCTGTTAGTATCGGAATTTTTTAATCGTTCCAAATGAGATAAAGCCAAATAAACTTACCACTTGTTTTGAGATCATGGTATATAGTAGGCCAAATGGTAGAAGAATTCCTTGCAAGGAGATGATGTCCATAAACCATTTAAAAGGTCAATTTTTATTAAAGTTAAATATTTACTTAATTTTCGTTAGATACCTAAAAGTTCAACTTTTTAACGGTCAAATTGACAACTAAGCCCCCGCTTGTTTATCATTTTTGGAAGAATGAGAATGAAAAATATAGTCGTTACTGTTCCTCACAAGAGACATAAATTCAAATTTGATGTCATATTTTTCATTTTAACGAGAAAAGGTTAGGAATGGGCTAAATTATCAAAGCCCTGTAAAAATAAAATGTGAAAATCTATATGATACTACTTACATCCAATTTAATTTTAAGGTTAGAAACACTTCGCCCGACTTATAATAATGTTGTTTTTCTTTAATCCATGTTTCAGTTTTAAGCATTTCTAACTTAAAATTGTTGAAAATAGCGACATGACATGGAAATTTATTCGTTGCATCACAGGAATGGGCAAATGAGCGTGTCACGGGATGCATGCTTTACGTAGATTCAGTAGACGTAGAATCGATTTTGATTTGCAGTACAGAAACACTTCATCTGTTGTCAAATGCTATCAAGGCGAGCATTGCAAGATATCGTTCAAAAATGTGCAAGACAAAGAGCAATCACGCAAGCCAAGGCTGCCCATGCACAGATTATTCACTTTGGTTTTCAATCAGACACTATGACTTCGAACATGCTTATTAATTTGTATTCGAAATGCAGCCTCGTTGACTACTCCCGCAAAGTGTTCGACGAAATGCTTGAAAAAAGTCTGGTTTCTTGGAACACCATGATTGCTTCTTACACCCATAACATGAATGAGCAAGAAGCTCTGAATCTTTTTGTGAGAATGCGAAGAGAAGGGTCTCAGTTTAGTGAATTCGCTCTTTCTAGTGTTCTCTGCGCTTGTGCTGCCAAGGTTTTAGCATTTGAGAGCAAACAGCTGCATGCTTTTGCTGTGAAGGCATCGATCGAGTCGAATGCTTTTGTGGGCACGGCTTTGCTTGATGTTTATGCCAAGTGCAAGTTGATCAGTGATGCTTTACAGCTCTTCGAGTCTATGTCAGAAAAGAGTGATGTCACTTGGAGTTCAATGATGGCAGGGTTTGTGCAAAATGAACTTCACGAGGAGGCCTTAGTTTTGTTTCAAAGGGCACACAAGACTAATTTGGAAACTAATAAGTTCATTATTTCCTCGGTTCTTTGTGCTTGTGCTGCCTTGGCTGCTTTAATAGAAGGAAAACAAGTGCATTCCGTCGTTTGTAAAAGTGGTTTAGGTGCAAATATTTATGTCGCTTCTTCTCTCATAGATGTGTATGCAAAGTGTGGAGACATTCAAGAGTCTTATGTTGTGTTTTCTAATGCAGAGGATAAGAATGTTGTTTTATGGAATACAATGATTGCAGGTTTTGCCAGACATGCTAGACCTTTAGAGGCCATGGTGTTATTTGAGAAAATGCAGCAGATAGGCTTGTACCCAAATGATGTAACTTATATATCTGTTTTATCTGCATGTGGTCATATGGGGTTGGTCAACAAGGGACAGAAATATTTTGACATGATGAAGAAAGAACATAATTTGTCACCCAATATCTTTCACTACTCATGCATGGTTGATATTCTTGGTAGGACAGGCCTAATCAAAGAAGCTAAGGATTTAATTGACAAAATGCCATTTGATGCTACTGCTTCCATGTGGGGATCCCTTTTGGCCTCCTGCAGGGTCTATAGGAATGTTGAGTTGGCTGAGCTATCTGCTAAAATGTTGTTTGAGATTGAACCTAATAACGCAGGAAATCATGTATTGCTTTCCAACATATATGCTGCACACGGAAGGTGGGAGGATGTTGCATCTGTCAGGAAGCTTCTTAAAAACAGCGAAATCAAGAAGGAAAGAGGAAAGAGTTGGATTGAAATCAAAGACAAAGTTCATTGTTTCATGGTTGGCGAGCGATGTCATCAAAGGATTGCTGAGATATATTCAAGGTTGGATAAATTGCTGGAAGAGATGGAGAATTCAGGATACAAAGGGGATATTGATCATGATCTACATGATGTTGAAGAGAGTTACAAAAAGGAACTTCTGAAGCACCACAGTGAGAAGCTGGCTTTTACTTTTGGGCTAATGTGCTTACCTTCTGGTGCACCTATAAGAATTATGAAAAACCTCAGGATATGTGGGGATTGCCATGCTTTTATGAAGGCTGCTTCAATTTTAACGAGAAGGGAAATCATTGTAAGGGATAACAATCGGTTTCACCATTTTATTGAAGGGCATTGTTCATGTAAAGAATTTTGGTAATATGAAGCATGGCATAGAAAGCTAGTTTCTAATTATGTACTTCATCTCATCTGTAAGAGGGTTGGATCTACAATTTTCGGGCAATATAGCTGAAAAATGATGTTTTCAGCAATTTGACAGCTATAAATATCAAAGACAAACCCTTCTAAGTTCATGAGAACTTGCATTTTCATCCACCGAAAGAGGTACTTTTAGTACATCGAGGAAACTGCAATATTTTTCATAGAGCGGGCAGAGTGAGAAAGACTCTATGCATTAGGTATTTTTTGTTTTTTTTTTTTTTTTTTTTTGGCTTCTCTTGACACCTTGGTTATTACAGTAATTTATTTGTAGAATACAGTAGAATTAGCTTTTATTGCAAGGTCTTACTCCAACAGATTTCTATTTGGCAACATTTCGCATCTTACACGATATTCTTATAGGAATTCTGCTTTTGGCTCACCTTGTCAAAGGGTTCTCTTATAGCAATTGTTTGATTGCAGCTAAATACGTGTTTTTCTGGGGACATTAGCATCATTGAACTTCCATCTGCAGATGGTTAGGTTGAGGATGCCAACGAGATACCAACAAAGGTTTGGCACGAGAATGTACATGTTCGAAAAGGATGAGGGTGACAGAGGTGCATTGTGATTGAGGACTCCGATTGTGCTGTTTTTAATAGAAAATTGCTTGAACATTTCTTCAGCAAAGAACTTTCACTCTACATTTGATTTATTTTTGATACAGCAAGAAATGATTCAATTTGTGAAGTCTATGATTCATGTTCTTGGCTTACGTATCCATCTTCATGTCTCGAACCTCGACTCCACCAAGGTGTATTGTGGGATCTGTGGCTCCGACTCCGAATATTACTGCTCCAAGGTGTATTTATGGCTTATCTGATAAGTTACACTGAATTAGATGGAGAACTCCCGAGCCTTGAGATAAACTGAATCAGAAGGTGATCACATTGACAGGTACTTTCGCTGGTCTAAAAGTAATCAGAATTGCAATGGATAGTAAAAAACCATATTGTTCATGACAAGGTACAGGTGGGATTATTGACTTTTGTTTTTTATAATTGATTTCATCTAAGTAGATATCAACATTTAACAAGATGCAAAACAATAAAATTTTAACTTGTCATCCATTTTTTTTAATCTCGAATATGTCATCGTTCTCAATATTTCGACTACGTAAATGAGATTCTTACTATAGGATATTTGAGGAAAAATATCCATGTATGAATGTTATTCCATTGAAATAATGGCTTCTATGTGCCATTTTCACCCTCCTCCAAATTGATTGAATTTCTTAGTGGTAGTCATTCAATAACTGATGTTTTAAGTAATTGTTATAATGGCACTCTAGAGAAAAAAAAGAGTGGTATGACAATGTTTATAATTAAAAGGTTAAAATGAGTATTTTTATTTATTTATTTAACACTTTTATGATGTGGCTTATTGATAAATTAGCACGTGACTCAGCAATTACGTCAAAGATCAATTGTGATACAACTCCCATGATGAAATGAGTGATCTAATTTGAAACTAAACTAAAGTTCAGAGATAAATCAAAGTTCAATGATCCAATTAAAATTTTGCTAAAATCCAAATTAGTAAAAAATTTTCTCCTAAGATTATGTGTGAAATGGTTGTGACAGCCTGACACGTCTAATATTTCAGATGTCATAAATCCTTATTTGATTTTGATTCCCTGCCCATCAATTCTCTTTCACAATCTTTTTTTTAATCTCACATTATCAAAAAATGCATTTTCACCTTTTTTTCATAACGTTTCCTATTTTTAATAACACATTCATAAAATAAAAATATTTTTTAGAGACCACTTCTCATTATTTATCAAACAAGTGCTATTTTTCTTCAACATACTGCAAATTCTCTTTGACTACGTTTTTATCGAAAGGGGAAAAAAATGAAAATTTATTTAACCTTTGTTTGATAGAAATTAAGAGGGTCTTTGAGAGACTTTTTTTTTTTCTTTAATGTAAAAATGCATTTTTGAATAGTAAATTGATGGGAAATGTGTGGTTGAAAAAATAAGAATTTTTTTTATTTACGTATTATATTATTTTAATAAAGAATGTGTGATTAAAATGAAGAGAGATAAAAATGAATTTTGGAAAAAATGGGGTATCAAACGGGGGCTAAAATATAATTTAAGCTAAAATCAACAATTTAAACACATTTTATAAAAGGGTAATTAGCACAAAACACTCATACCTTTAAGGTTTATTGTGGAAAATGTTCCTATTTTTCATTTTTGGCATTTTTACCCTTATTTCCACATTTCTTTGCGGGAAACGTCCTTCACACCATTTTTTAATGTAAAATGACTAAAATACCCTCCCATTTAAATAAAACCAAAAGAAAAGAAAAGAAAAGAAAAGAAAAGAAAAATAAAGAATAAATTACAATCTTACTCCTGGATGTTTTAAAAAGTGCAAGTGAGTCTAAATAATTATTAAAATGCCTAATAACACAAAACGACACTACTTTTCAAATTGTTGAAAAATGACGTTTTTCGTAATGAAATGTGAAAATAGGGATGAAAATGTAAAAAAAAAAAAAATTGAAATGTAGGGATCTTTTTCACAAGAAGAGTAAAACGTAAGTTATTTATTTATTTATTAGGCCTCATTAAATTTTAAAAAAAAAATCTCTCTAACTGTCTTCTCTTTTTCTCCAAATGAGTCGGCCATCTTAAAAACCAAAAAACTCCAGCAAACTACAACTCAAACTGCTAGAACTTCATACCACTGAAAAGCCCTCACTTTCATGTACACATACCACTCAACATCTAACCTTGAAACCTTCATGTCAATAGATTTGTTCGGAATCGCAAGCCAAAATACTCAATTCGCTAATTCAAATACTGGCGACATCACCTGTTTCGAAGAAATTCATGCCATTTCCAACACACTAATCGATTATACTCATCAGGACGTCTCTCTTTATGGTCTTAAAATATCAACAAATGATTTAGCAGTATGGAGGTTTGACGGTTTAGGTGATGGTTGGTCGGAGTTTTTTCACTTTCTAACGTGGTAGTCCCATTTGGAAAAAAAAAGAGAAGAGATATAGAGAGAGAGCTTTTTTATTTTTTTAATATTTTAATAAGACCTAATAACAAAAACATTTTTACGTTTGACATTTCTTGCGGAAAACGTTCATACATTTCAATTTTTTTAAGTTTTCATCCCTATTTCCACGATTCATTGCGGAAAACGTCATTTTTACCAATTTGAAATGTAAGAACATTTTTCACACTATAGGTCAAACTAGGGCTGGGCAAAATGTTCGAACCAAACCGAAACCGAATCAAACTGAACTGAATCGTATGATTTTTTTAAGTTAAATACTCGAACGGGTATTTGAATTGAGAACCGACAAATTTGGTTCGATTATTGGTTCTAGACCAAGAACCGAATCTCTTTAAAATTTTTAATTTTTTTATATTGAATAAATAAAATTATTTTAATTTTTTCTAAATAAATTAGCAAATTAACTAATTAAGTAATTAATGTTCCAATTTTTAGATTATTTATGTTTGTTAATTGTATTTTTTCAAAATTTTCTTGTAGAGTTTCTTAGTAGTGAGTATGATAAGTCAAGCAATTGATAGTTAATTCAAATAGATGGTAAGTATTAGCAATATTTTAAAATATCTTATCTCTATAACTTCTAATTTATATTTCATTTTTCACGTAGACTTAAATGTTTGAAGCAAAGGAACCATTGAATGGATCATTGAAGTTTAATATTGGTATCTACTTTTTGATATTTGTATGAATTGGTAAATTAATTTTGTTGGACAACTGGTTATTTATTTGTTATTAAATTAAACTATGTTAGTTTGAAAAACTACGATTAAATGTGTTATTAGTTGTATTTATATAGTGTTGTTATAAATATAAAAATTTTTAATTATAGTACGGAATCGAATCGAACCGAACGAAATCGAACCCGAATGGTTCCATAATTATTTTTGGACCCGACGGGTCCATTTATTAAATACCCAAAAATTTTTGGTTCACTGATCCACGCCCAGGTCTAGGTCAAACGTGGGGACATTTTGTACTATTAGGCATTTTAATAAATTTTTTGACTCACTTGCACTTTTTAAAACATTCAGGAGTAAGATTGTAATTTATTCTTTATTTTATTTTCTTTTTTTGGTTTTATTTAAATGAGAGGGCATTTTGGTCATTTTATATTAAAAAAGGTGAAAAGGATATTTTCTGTAAAGAAATGTGGAAATAAGGAGAAAAATGTCAAAAAATAAAAGATGTGGACATTTTCCATAATAAATTTTAAAAATAAGAACGTTTTGTGCTAATTATTCTTTATAAAAATTCAAAACTTTCAATCATATGTTTCATTAATTTTTATCAAAATTTATTGCGAGTTTAATCTAACCATGCAATAGCTCACTACAATCCTGTCCGAATAGTAGCTGCCAAAGTAGACTGAGCTGTCAAACACTTCGGGGAATTTATTGAAAATTAGCCCTCACGTTTTATCCCATAAATATATTCATTTTCTAGAATTTAAGCCCGATTCATGTGGGTTTAGACACCATTTTCTTCCGGCAGAAGGTGCGTAAAATCTACTTTCTTCGATAATTTTACTCCCTTTTCTACGTGGTTATGTATATTCACTTTGCTATGAATTTCAAGATTTGATTTTTATTAAATCTATCTGTGCGTATATCTTTAGTTTTATAACTCTTTTTCTGACTATTCTGGTGATGATATGTGTGTGTTAAAAGAGGATTTTTTTTTTAATTTTTAATTTTAATTTTTTATTTTTTTTGGCTAGTTTAAGATTCTTCTGTATACGAAAAGATAGAAAAGAAACTCACGATTTTACTATTCCAATAGGGGAAGGTACTATCCTTTCGAGCCGTTTGTGAGCAAGGAGGGTCCATGTGTATTAATCCTCTCAGTCACTGATAAATAGCTATAATTTTATGCAAAAGTTTTTGGAAGGAATACGGTTGATTAGATGAAGTTACTGGATTAATTTTTGAATGTTGTTAAATGAAAATTTTCTTGTTCATGAATGGAAACTTTTCGTGTTAGGCTTCTGAAGAAAAATGTATAGTTTGTGCGTGATGTGGCGTGATGTTAAGACAAATCAATCTCTCTAACAACATAAACTTTTAGGTTAAGCGATGATTCAATATGGTCCTAGTGCAGGTACAAGTTTTGGGTTGAAGACTTGAAGTCTTGTTGCTCTCATCTTTAAAAATTGCAATTGCATGTGTCAGACGTTTGAACTGGAAATGTATATATGGCCATATGCAAAGTGCGTGCTGAATATACTATTATAAATGAATAAATTTGAAACTCTCTAACAGCTCGAATTTTTAAACAAGGTGGTTGTTCAATAAGACCAAGATTTTGGCATCATTTTCTTTTCCTTTTTCAAGGAATGCGCTCTAATAAAAGAATTAATCATTTTTACAGATTTTCAATATGTGGTCAGCTATGTAGCACGGACACTCTAAATAGGGTAGCGTGTCCGTGTCCGACACGTATCGGATACGTGTCAATAACGACACTCTTCGGATACTCTACAATAATCATTTTCCTTTTTTACTATAACTATTATATATTTTTAACTCAAAGTTTTTAATAAATAACAAATAAGTACTCATATTTAAAAAATTTCAACAAAAAAAATCAATAATAAGTATAAAACTAAATTTAAACTATATAAATGAAGAATTTTAAAAATTTAATGAACGTGTCGGCGACGTGTCGTGTCGGTACTTTTTTGAAAAACCACGAGTCGACGTGTCCGACACGTATCGTGTCCGACACATGTGTCCATTTCGGTGCATCGTAGGTGGTCAGGTTATTCCTAGGAGGGTCTTGCTTTTTAGTTATTCTTCTCTGTCAATGAAAAAATGGTTACTTTTCTGGTGTTTGAATAGTTGGTTCTCAGGTTACATGTGCAATAAGTTTGAAATATATCCCTATAAGTTTTAAAGCTTTTTCTTTATGTTTGATTTCAGGCACTAAGTCTCAGATGTCATTGAGCTGTTGAATGAAACATGCTCGAGAATTTATGATTAAGCAGTTCTATAATGCATTTAGTCCCTGTTTGGTTCAACTAAGAAGTTGATTAAAATTTAAGTCATATCAATAATTAATTTTAACCACATATTTCATGTAACCCACAACTTTTCAACCGCACATTCAAACGAGATTTATTGTAATTTACTAAGAAATTGAGTTTTATCTCAACCAAACAGGGCGTTAATATGCAGAACATGAAATTAGTGCCAGAGGTAATGGAGGCTTATGAAGGTTATCATGATGGTGATTGAAATGGCTGGTTGTAATGATGTGCAGTGACCGTGATTTTAAATTGCTCACTATTTCCTTTTTTCACTTTGATGAGAAAATCTCTTCGGTAAAGTTTTGTGCTCATGCCAATGCTAGTTTTTGGTTCTGATGCGCACCAGGAAGAGGGGTGGGGGGTGAGGGTGTTGGCTGCCCCTCTATGTTGGGAAGATTTCTTGGTACTTTATTGAACAAATGGCTTATAATGTTTCATTAGAATTCCTTAACACACTGTAGTCAAATTGACTGGTCAATATTCAAATATATTTGTCTTCTCTAGATACCTTTTTCTGGATAAATTCTTGGCAGAAGTCTCAGGGATACTGACAATGCCAAAAACCTTTCTGTTACGAATTCTGGTGTTGGTGCATCCTATTCTGCTTTGCGGAATTAAGAGATGTTTAGAGAACCAAGACTTATTTTCATGGTCTTGTAGGGAAAGATTTGAATGAGAAAAATTGGCTTAAGTGAGATCCTCTGCTGAAAAAATGTGTTGGAAATGAATCTAAAAAGACTTCCCTTTGACCTTTCACCAACTATAAGATCGAAAGAGAGCACAACACATGAGTTTTGACAATTGAATGTGCTTGACCATTAGGCTTGATTTAACACATCTTTAATAGTATTCCTAACTAATAAAGAAAGAACAATCTGCTTCACTAGTGAGATTGATTGGTACGTACTTGAAGATCTAAAGATGCCAGTGCTTTTTCACTTGAATTCTTGAATGCAGCTCACTGGGACGTTATATTCTAGGCTAGAGATTCTATTTGCTTGTGTTTTTGCTTAATACATGCTTCTCCATTTATACAAGATTTGAAATACAAAACCTTAGTTATGTATGAGGTAGGTTTACTGATATAGTTAGTCAGACTCCCAGTAAAGGTAGTAAAATCTATTCGAAATAGGACTTAGAAAGTATCCATAAAGGATTTTGGATAAATAAAAGATATTCAGCCCTTATAAAAAATGGATAACTGAAGATATAGTAGAGGCATAAGAAATTGCAAAAACATTCGTATGGAGAAATATAACATATCAATATTTACCATCAGATATGATAAACAGATGATGTTTTATCAGTTCGTCATATATTCTTTAGATTTTATCATCATAATTCTTTTTATTTTTTAATTTTTTTTAAACAATTCCTAAATTCTTATTCTTCTCAA